TGGGATCCTGGGGACACGGAGTGGGATATCATTGTGGGGACACTAAATGGGATCCTGGGGACATTAAATGGGATCCTGGGGACACGGAGTGGGATCTCATTGTGGGGACACTGAATGGGATCCTGGGGACACGGAATGGGATCTGATCCATCCCTGGGGACACTGAGTGGGATCTGGGGACACTGAATGGGATCTGGGGACATTGAATGGGATCTGGGGACATTAAATGGGATCCTGGGGACATTAAATGGGATCCTGGGGACACTGAATGGGATCCTGGGGACACTGCATGGGATCCCATCCTGGGGACACTGCATGGGATCTCATTGTGGGGACACTGAATGGGATCCCATCCTGGGGACATTGAATGGGATCCTGGGGACACGGAATGGGATCCTGGGGACATTGAATGGGATCCTGGGGACACTGAATGGGATCCTGGGGACATTGAATGGGATCCTGGGGACACTGAATGGGATCCTGGGGACACTGCATGGGATCCCATCCTGGGGACACTGCATGGGATCCTGGGGACACGGAATGGGATCCTGGGGACATTGAATGGGATCCTGGGGACACGGAATGGGATCCTGGGGACATTGAATGGGATCATGGGGACACTGAATGGGATCCTGGGGACACTGCATGGGATCCTGGGGACACTGCATGGGATCCTGGGGACACTGAATGGGATCCTGGGGACACTGCATGGGATCCTGGGGACACGGAATGGGATCCTGGGGACACGGAATGGGATCCTGGGGACACTGCATGGGATCCCATCCTGGGACACTGAATGGGATCCCATCCTGGGACACTGAATGGGATCCCATTGTGGGGACACTTCATGGGATCCTGGGGACACTGCATGGGATCCTGGGGACACTGAATGGGATCCTGGGGACACTGTGTGGGATCCCATCCTGGGGACACTGAGTGGGATCCTGGGGACATTGAATGGGATCTGATCCATCCCCTGGGGACACTGCATGGGATCTGATCCCCAGGGAAACACTGCATGGGATCTGATCCATCCCCAGGAAACACTGCATGGGATCTCATTGTGGGGACACTGAATGGGATCTGATCCATCCCCTGGGGACATTGAATGGGATCCTGGGGACATTGAATGGGATCTGATCCATCCCTGGGAACACTGAATGGGATCTCATTGTGGGGACACTCCAGAGCGGGTTTGTCACCCTTTGTCACGCGGAGGGATGGGGACAGCCGAGTCCCAAAGGTGCCCGGGACCCTCCTGTAACGGGGTCAGTGTCAGTGGGGTTGGGTCGGTGTCAGTGGTGTTGGGGATATTTTCAGTGGTGTCAGTGGTGTCAGTGATGTTGGGATCAGTGTCAGTGGTGTCAGGACGGTGTCAGTGCTGCTGGGAATATTTTCAGTGGTGTCGGGGTCGCTATTGGGGTCAGTGTCAGTGGGGTCAGGACGGTGTCAGTGCTGCTGGGATATTTTCAGTGGTGTTGGGATGGTGTCAGTGATGTCAGGGTCGGTGTCAGTGGTGTTGGGATCAGTGTCAGTGGTGTCAGTGGTGTCAGTGGTGTCAGTGGTGTCAGTGGTGTCAGTGGGGTCGGTGTCAGTGGTGTCAGTGATGTTGGGATCAGTGTCAGTGGTGTCGGTGTCAGTGGTGTTGGTGTCAGTGGGGTCGGGAACGGTGTCAGTGCTGTTGGGGATATTTTCAGTCGTGTCAGGGTCGGTGTCAGTGGGGTCAGGTCGGTGTCAGTGGGGTTGGGATCAGTGTCAGTGGTGTCAGTGCTGCTGGGGATATTTTCAGTGGTGTTGGGATCAGTGTCAGTGGTGTCGGTGTCAGTGGTGGTGGTGTCAGTGATGTTGGGATCAGTGTCAGTGGTGTTGGTGTCAGGGTTGGTGTCAGTGGGGTCAGGACGGTGTCAGTGGTGTTGGGATCACTGTCAGTGGTGTCGGTGTCAGTGGTGTCGGTGTCAGTGGGGTCAGGACGGTGTCAGTGGTGTTGGGATCATCGTCAGTGGTGTCAGTGCTGCTGGGGATATTTTCAGTGGTGTCGAGGTCAGTGTCAGTGGTATCACTGTTGTCAGTGGTGTCAGGACGCTCTCAGTGGTGTCAGTGGTGTCGGCGTCGGTGTCGGGGTTGGTGTCAGTGGGGTCAGGACGGTGTCAGTGGGGTTGGGATCAGTGTCAGTGGTGTCAGTGCTGCTGGGGATATTTTCAGTGGTGTCGGGACGGTGTCAGTGGTGTCAGTGATGTTGGGATCAGTGTCAGTGGTGTCAGTGGTGTCAGTGATGTTGGGGTCGGTATTGGGGTCGGTGTCAGTGTTGTTTGGGGTCGGTGTCAGTGCTGCTGGGGATATTTTCAGTGGTGTCGGTGTCAGTGGTGTCGGGGTCAGTGGTGTCAGTGGTATTGGGGTCGGTGTCAGTGGGGTCGGGAACGGTATCAGTGCTGCTGGGGATATTTTCAGTGGTGTCGGGGTCGGTATTGGGGTCGGTGTCAGTGGGGTCAGGACGGTGTCAGTGGTGTCGATGTCAGTGTTGTTTGGGGTCGGTGTCAGTGCTGCTGGGGATATTTTCAGTGGTGTCGGGGTCGGTATTGGGGTCGGTGTCAGTGTTGTTTGGGGTCGATGTCAGTGTTGTTTGGGGTCGGTGTCAGTGCTGCTGGGGATATTTTCAGTGGTGTCGGGGTTGGCTCTTTTCACACCGGGGTCGGCTCTTCTCACACCGGGGTCCCGTGGTGACGGTGGTGGTGATGGTGATTGTGTTCACCGTCAGCCCTCCCGAGGGGWAGGAGTCGAGCTGYGCCTCCCGCCTGTACTCGGACACCYSCCTGGAGGAGAGCAGCTCCCACACCGACACCCGGCGCTCCTGGGACGGGTCAAACGTGATTTCGGARCCCTCGGAGCGCAGCAGATCCACGGTGTGGGCAGGAATGTCCCCAAAACACCGCTGGTGGCTGTCACTGGCCAGGCTGGTGGTGACACTGAGCAGATCCTGCACGGGGAGTGTCCCCTCGCGGTACAGCTCCAGCAGCTCCCGACGCTTCTCCTCGGGGATGGAATCGGAAAACAGCARATCCCACAGGGAGCTCTGCCTGCCCTGGAAAAACCCCTCGGACCCCTCGGCGCTGGTGGCCTTCAGGGGCTCTGCCCAGGAGCTGTTCCCGTGCGGGGCGGGGGGTTTGGGGTGTGTGGATGGTATGGGATCAGGCACAGGTGAATTATTCATGGGTTCTGCTCTGGGATCAGTCACAGGTGAATTATTCATGGGTTCTGCTCTGGGATCATTCACGGGTTCTGCTCTGGGATCATTC